CACTTTGCTTATAAGGATTTTTTTCCCAAACCTCTAGGCCTTACCGTTCTAGAGATACAGCCGCTCCGTACGCTTAACGGGACACCCTGTATATATAGTATGTATAAAACTATCCCTTCTTTCTTATCCTTCCTCTTCTATTTATTTTTCTTTTTCTTCTTTTTCTATTTCTTTTTTTTTTTCTCTTCTCTATTTCTTTCTCGGCTCCTTCCTTTATTCTTCTTTTACTTTTACTTCTTTCTTACCTTATTGTGTTACTGCATGATCGGATTCTGTTTATATATATTTTCTATATTGATCAAGGGACCGATGAAAAACAATAACACCTGAGTCCATCAGGTCCATTGACTCGGTTTCCTTTGGTAAACCGCTTATTATTTATGATTTAGTACTTCATTTTTTTTTATATAGTATAATTCATTTTTTTTTTACTTTTTTTTTACCTGATATTTTGTTTTGTAATTGTAAATTGTACTTTTTTTTTGGTTTCACCAATAAATATATTATTATTATTAATATCTACTTCAGGAATTTACTCCTTTCAACAAGTACCCACCACATCATTCTCAACATGTAAGAGCAATATTTATCAAGTAGTGAGGTTCTCTTCTGAGACGAAACCAATGTCACCCAATGAGGTCCACCAAATAATAAAATCTCCAAAACTAATGAAAAAAGCGTCTGGCAAATACTTAACGAGCATGTTCAATGCAAGCTTAAAGATCGGATACCTTCCAGAAATGTAGAAACATGTCAATATTTTTCTATTTCATAAATCTATGTACTCTTTCAAAACTTTTAGGAAAGATAATACAAATAAGATTACACGATGATTTAACGAACATCAGATTTTACCACCACTTCAGTTCGACTTCAAACAAGGACACTCAACTAGCAATCAACATCAGAGATTAGTCGACTTAATAGAAGATGGTTTTGAAAATAAAATGTACTATAAAATTATATAAAATGTCTCTATAAATAAATAAAAAGTAAAATCTTGTTAAATGGTTCTCTACTGAACAAACATGTTTTGTTGAGATTGTACATCAAAATAAACGTAAAGAAGTAAGATTTTATATCCCGACAGAGAAAAACCTGTCGCTGCCAACCTTATCTACCCCGCCAATTATTTAGAACGATTTTCCGAGTTAAACCCGGCGTGTTTTTCCTAGTGACGTGAGGGACGCATTCGCTTCCTTAAGTAGACCTCGATCCGCTACTTGTATATTTCAGGGGGTTTTATTTCGTCGAGCCGCCGGAAAATTGCACCGTCGGGTTGGGGTGGTCTGGAAAACTCCCGAAGGCATCCCGTATGTAATTCCACAAACGGTTTTATTTCGTTGCGTGCCCGCCCTTCGTAATGCGCCTGGGTGCAAAGACACAAAGGTAAACAAATTTCCCCACACCGCTAAGTTTTTCTCGAAATTACCAACCGGAAAAGGAAACCGGAAATGTTCGGATTTTCTTTTGTTACATTCGGTTTTGGAAGGTATGGTCACGTTCCCACTTCTTTTTTTTTTTGTTGGGAAATCTTGACCATGCGTGACGTGGAAACGTCGAATTGCTTTGTGATTGATGGGCAACTCTTATGAAACGTTCATTTAGACCCACTTCACGTCCGAGTTAATAAAATTCTTTATTGAGTGTTTATTTGAAATCATTTTATTTGAGTCGTCTTTAATTAATTCAAATTTTAATTGGATTCATTACAAAAAAAAAATTATCTCATTTCGCTTCGTTAGGACTTAATGGTAAAATAATCGTAGGAAAAATGAGGTCCATCTTAATTGATTCCATAACTTCCTGAATCTGACTGGAACTTCTTTTAGGTCATAATAATAAAATTTCTTTTTCAACTTTTTCCAATTTGCCGATGAGCCGGGAATAATTACGGGGTTGAAATTTATAGCTTGAGCTTTCACAAAATGAATTTAAGGGTGATAAATTCGTTCGATGAGCGCACACAAGAGATTCTGTGCTTCCCCTCGAATTTCAACATTATTCAGTCCCTCGGCCTCCTGATTCCGGTCACTTTAAACCGGGAGACCACGATAAGGCGTGGGAATATGTGATGTATGTGTAATACGTGTTATAAATTCTAGTAACCATCTTCGGTTGGGGTTATAATATGAATTGGGGTAGAATGGTAATCAATCTTTTCGTGGAAAATAGTTTAATTAGATTAGAATTTATTGACGATGTTGATTTAGGAGTAATGTAAATTTTAGTAAAAATTTATAAATTTCAAAAATTCCCATAAATTCTATATTTGGAGATAGATAGATACACAATTATTTCATTAAATTACAGATTAAACCCTGCTCTTCAAAATGATATACCGAGAATTTTTGTATTTTAGTGCAAAACTAGAACTAATACTAGACCGGAAACTAGAAACATTCGGATTTAGCCGCACGTCTCTTAAGACGACTAACCACGAATGATTCTAGTTGTAGGTCTAGTGTTAGTTCTAGTAATAGTGCTAGTGCAATACTAGAACTAACGCTAAACCGAGAACTAGAAGCATTCGGATTTAGCCGCACGTCTCTCAACGCGGCTAAACCCGAATGATTCTAGTTCTAGGTCTTGTGTTAGTTCTAGTTTTAGTGCAATAAAAATATACAACGTAGTGATATCTTATGCTAACTAACGCTACCTACCACTATCACTAGAACAACATTAGACCTAGAACTAGAAACATTAGAGTTCAGCCGCACGTCTCTCAAGACGGCTATATCCGAATGATTCAAGTTCTAGGTCTTGTGTTAGTTCTTATGCTAATGTAAAACTAGAACTAACACTAGACCTAGAACTAGAAAGTATCCTCAGACGCATGGCTAAACCCGAATGTTTCTAGTTCTATAATAATAATAATATTCCTTTATTACAAAACAGGCCTCCAAACACACATTATTGATATGTGTTTTAAAATTAAGATTTGCATCAAACAGGACCCCCAAATCCCTGTACTCCTCAACACGACTTAAAGTGCTGGCAGCAATATTGTAAGGATATATATGTTACGGTTAGAATAATAAATGCAGTTAGTATTAATAATTACCGGTTAGTATTAATAATAAGTACAACAATTAGTCAATGTGATAAATCTCCATATATTAATCAGTTTTACCGGATATTATTAATATTTTCTCAACGTGGTTGGTTAAAGTAATAAAACACTATAGTTTTGTATATCAAACATGTTTTTATTAAAAAAACTTATTAAAGAATAAATTCTTATTAAGAAAACTCAATGCTGAAGTACTTTATAAAGTTAAACCAAGTCTATAAAGATAAGTTAATTCTCATATAATTTATAATTATTTATTATTGCACGATCGAGTTTTATGGCATTTTGAATTACAAAAAATATGTAATTTTTTGCATTTGCATCGAATCGAATTGCATTCAGCAGTGCAATTGCAATGTTGAAAACCTTGTCCACCCAAATTTGAACCCTTACGAGCACACTCTCTAAGAGTAATGTCAGTTTCTGGTACTTCGTTAATCGAAATAAATTTTTCTTTACAGATAGTAAATTCATTCCTTGAATACAATTGATTTAAAGTACCGTATTTTGTACCTAGCTTATAAAAACTGTCCTTTTCAACAGAAATAATAACAGCTATTATATTTCGGCTATCTGCTTTGGCTCGATCAATTTCTGGTACCTTAATTCTAACGCTTTGGCCTATTTCGGCAACTGTAAATTTTGCATTAGAACGTTTCAACATTTTGTCCGCTTGCTTCTCTAAGGACTGTTTAGCGAAATTTCGAGATTGGTTGTCGTATTACCAACAAATTGTGGGTTTTTACTTTGGCTTACAATGAGAGAATTTTGTTTATTTAAAGCTACAGATTCAATTTCAGCAGATTGTGAGACATTGCTCTGAGTCAGCAGCAACATCTTCACTTTGATGTTCAGGATGATTATCATATTGCTGTTTTAAAATTGACTCAAGATCTTCTTCACGTGTTATTTTTGACAATGTATCAAAAGCTGGCAAGAATGTTTTCAAACCCACTTTAGCTTTACAACCAAATATAGCTTCATAAGGACTTTGATTTATTCCGGAGTGGTGGGCTCTGTTCTTCTTGAACTGTATAAATTTTAATCCTTCCGACCATTTTGTAGTTTTGTTTGTCTCCAACCATGTAGATAACATCTTCTCAATATCCTGGTTAGCTCTTTCAATAGAACCTTGTGATTGACTGTGCCGCGGCTTTCCGTGCACAATTTTTGGTTCATTCCACATGTGACACAACTCTTCAATTACCTTATTTGCGAATTCTCGCCCATTATCATCAGTATGTAATATACAAGGAGCTCCAAATATTGTGAACACATCTAACAAGTGGTAAGCAACTTCTTCGGCGCGCTTGGTTTTTAGTGCTCTAAGCTGTAAAAATTTTGTCAGGTGGTCTTGATATACCATAATGAACTTAAACTCGCCATCTGCTTGAGATTGCATGTCGATGAGGTCAACTTGGCATCTCGAATTAAATTCGTTGCTTTTAATGGGCTTAACAACAAACCCTTTTTTTTTGATACTCATTTTTTTTTGACACGGTTCACACATATTTAAATAAACGACGACTATTTCTATAGTGATATTGTTGTACTTGCTTTTCAGTTCTTTCATCATTCGATTTCGCCCTCCGTGACCGGTAGAAATATGTGTTTCGTGAATAATATCAAAAATTTCTTCTAAATAGGTGTAGTAAATTATTTGATCCTTTTCATTTTTCACCGGTACTATAAGTTTTTGTACATTTCCCATCTCTACCGTATCATACCTTGATAATTTCTGATAATCTTCGGGTGACTTGTGAGAAATCTTATTCTTAGATACTTTCACTTTGGTCAGAAACGAAAAATACTCATCTCGCGAAAACAACTGGTGATTTTTCCCTTTCTTCATTTTAATTTTATAAATTTCTTGGTTAAATCTTGTTTTCATAACCTCCAAATCTCCCATTTTAAAATAGGACATACAAAACCAAACTAAACTGCATAGAGTATACAAAATATAACAAAACTACGATAAAATTACCATGAAAACGTAAGATCACTCGATCGCTCTCTTAACCCCTCACTGTGTTCGTGTTTTGCACGTAAATGACAAGTCACTGCGTGTTTACGATTAACTCTTTTAAAATTTACAGCAGTTATATGTAAATTATTAATAATAACCGGTCAATGTGATAAATTTGTTACTTTAACCCTGCATGTTAGTTAGTATTAATAATCAACGGTACTTATTAATAGTTTTCAATTAATCACAGTAACCGTAACATATACTTGGTGATGATCATCGGCTATAAGTAAGTACACAACCAATTTGAAAGATTTGTATCGATTGCTATACGAGTATATCATTTTAAAGATCAAGATTTAATCATTAATTTGCTTCAACAATCAAGTCTTTATCTCTAAAGATAAGTCTTGGAGAGTATTTTGAAATTAATGGTTTTTTGATATAATTTGTTTTCTCCAAATACACCATCTTCAGTGATAATTTTTTCAAGGCAATTTGTAATATTTGCCGTCGATTGTTATTTACTTAAAATGCAATATACCAAAATATATTTCCATAGAAATCAGGGCGTATCTTACTTTGTCTCACATAAAATGCAACATGTCTGAATGCTTCTGGTTGTAGGTGTAATTTTAGTTCTAGTAATAGTGGTAACTAATAATAGGAACTAATAAAATTCCAGTATATGGAATTTTCTCCGAGCTAAGAAACGTACTACAAGAGTACCTGTAATCTGATTGATAATGAGAGCAATGTTTTTGCTGATCCTCAAGACATTGTAAATGCTTTTGCTAACATGTTTTCTGCTATTCATACTGTATCTACTGAATCTGAATCTGATTTCATTAAGTTGCCATACTCTTATCATCCCACTACAGAAGAGGAGCTAATTAAATTAATGGCAACGTTTTCTAATAAGCATACTGTTGGAGATGATTTGTTGCCAAGTTTTATAGTCAGAGACTGCCGTTATATATTTGCTTGCTCTCTTAAATTTATTATTAACTTCTCCATTACGTCCTTTGAATTTAATTAATGATTAAATCTTGATCTTTAAAATGATATACTCGTATAGCAATCGATACAAATCTTTCAAATTGGTCTTGGAAAAATAGTAATTAAAAATGTTGATTTAGAAATAACATTAATTTTAGAAATATCAACAAATTTCTTTATAAATTCTAGTAATCATCTTCAGTTGAGGTTATAATATAAATTGGAGTAGAATGGTAATCAATCTTTTCGTGTAAAATAGTTTGATTAGATTAATACTCTATTTTAAGATGATATTTTAAAGTAGAAAATTTTAAGGGATGTTCTATTGAGAATTTTGAAGAATTCCAGATAATCTGGCTTTTGTTCTATGTTCTGGGAAGGTTAAAGTTTGCGAATTGCGGCACCTATCGTCAAGAGGATTTCCTTGAATTACACTTCAGCTTTTCCCCCCCTCCAATCTCCGGGGTAGTTTGGTTTAACTTTGGACTTAGGAAATTAGGGAATTATAACCTAGAGAGGCGGATTAAACGAGGGGAACTTAAAACTTTCGACTGGGAATACACATTACCAAGTTGAATTTGAGAAAATTTTTAAAATCTAATTTAACGTATTTTCGCAATTTGATTTAAACCTCAATCATCGCAAATTAAAAATCTAGTTTTAATCCCGCGTGGATTCCCCGCAGACATCCACCTCGACCGTAGGTAATTCCGGGTGGTTTTTGCAGGAAACGTTTCCTGTATCGACGAATTCAGACAGTCGTAATCTCTCTTCCCGTCCGCTCCAAACTTACCGGATTTAGTCGTAATTGTACTTCTTCCACCTTCTCTGAAATAAGAACCTTTTGATGTGCGCCAACAAAATCGATCGTTCCCAAATCCCGCCTTTTATGTTATCTTTCTCACTCTCTCTTTACTTCTCCACGACTTTCAGAACTGAAACCTCCCGGGAAATGTTATCTCACATTATTTAATCGAGAATCCCAAGACTGAGTGATTGATTAACGATAAGAAATGAACTTTTTTCGAGAAAAGTGTTTCTTTCTTAATTGGTCGTTAATTTGCTAATAGTATTAAAAGTAATCAGATAATTTTATTAGGTAAATAAATGAGCTGAGAAGTTTGTGGAAAAAATTAAAACTTTTTTATTAGATATAAAATTTAAAAAGTTAAAATCTACTTGATTTACTATACTGGTATTTTAAACTAGAGGCGGGTGCATTAAAGCTCATTTCATCGCAATTTAGTTCCGCGTGTACTTAATAACTATTAACTCGTAGCGAAACCGCGTCGAAACTTTTTTCCAACCGCGTTTCCGGTTATATTTTTCAAACTGCACTTTTTGCCTGCACACACATGCTGACGCTTTTAGTAGCTTAATCCGGGACCACCGCGACTCTCTCATCCTTATATTACCCAAAATCGCACCCTATGCTCCTAAAACTTTTTCATCGCCCCCCTATCCTTATTCGACGTAGACACGGGGATTAAAAGGAAGTAACAACTAACATGTAAAGAGTAAAGAGCGATAGAGAGGGAGATATCGGGAGAGAGGAAACGGGGTGGAGCTCGCGTAGATGTACCCGGTTTAATTGCAAGTTGTCCAGAATTAAGGGCTGGGTCCCCATAAATATTTAGCACAGTGTGTTCCAATTAAAAGTTTTTTAGTCCCTTATCCCACCCAACCGCCCAACTCTACGAATTGACGCGTTGAAATGCAAATTGGTTTAGACGTGACTCGATTTTTACTTTTGTAATGTATAGTTTAAGTTTTAAAGACACATTAAATGGTTTTAAATAATTGTCTAAATTTTATTTTTAGAGATAAATAGGAAAATAAATAAATAAATCTTTTTAGAGATACAGATAGAATTGTTTCATTATATTGCAGATACAACCCTGCTCTCTTTGAAATGATATATAATAATCGATGGCAAATATTAAAAATTTCTCTGACAGAAACTCACTTCTCTGATGTTTTGTGTTCTTTAATACATTTTTTAATATTTAATCAACTAGGATTCTGTAAAAACGAGCTCTTATTTTCGTTACTCTTTATACGACGAGAACAGCCTTCTAATCTTATTTTAAATTATAATATCTATTAATTAATTATACTACATACAACAAAAAACTCTGAAGACGCACGACTAAAGCCGAAACTTTCTATATAGATAAATAGATTCTTTATTGTGTTATTAAAATAGACTTTTCTTACATTCGTCACCTGGTACATACACTGTGTTAATTAATTATCGTAATCCACGTGACTTGTGTAATATTGGCTGCATATCTCAATATGTAGTGGTAGCTTGGATAATTTTAAATTAGTAATCAGCTGTTGAGAGCTGATCGAACGTTATTGTAGTGATTGTCGTTTAACCGTTGTTTCTTGCCTTTATATTTTACGAAATAGTTCTTTTTAAAACTATTGTTGTTTCTAGCGGTTACTTTAAGCGGTAAGTCAATAAACAAATCAAAATAACCACTACTTTCAAAATTAATTTCAATCTATGGGTACACTAAAAATTATTTTAAATAAAAGGACAGAAAGTTAGATCTTATTTTATATTTAAAATATTTTTTTAATTATTAAAATATATCTAAATATATTTTAACGGCTTTTAAAGTTAATGATTAATGATGCAATTCCAATCTGTGATATTGGTTGCATACTTTGTCGGATACAATAAATAATTAACACACTGTATACAGAATGTCTCAGCGAGACCGATCATTAGACATTTCTGGGGTTCTGGCCAAAATAAAAATTTGTGAATTCAGACTTAAGTATTATCAATTACGTTGTCTTCGACAAAAATATTTTCAGATTTCTAGCACTCCCGATTATACCGGAAGTGCAGCCTCCGAGCTGTGTGGCAGGCATCCAGGCAAGTCATTAATAAATATTAAGAACAGCACCGGACCTACTACAGATCCTTGTGGGACTCCGTATTTAACTATAATTTTATCAGAAGTCTGGTTGTTGAAAGAAACATATTGAGTGCGCTCCGAAAGGTAAGACTTAAACGGTAGAATACTGTATTCACTGAAATAGTGAGCTTTTAATTTTAGCAACAACAACTCGTGGTCAACGCAGTCGAAAGCCTTGGTGAGATCGAAAAGTGATATCCCACTCAGCAAGTTATTTTCAAAGCCACTTCATATACATTAAGTTAAGGAGCTTGAGTTGAAGCTGATAATATTCCAGACACTAGCTTACTTGTTCTTAGAGCGTTTTAATAGGGATATGTTAGCAGATTTTTTTTGTTCTTAGGATAAGCTGTCCATATAAGCTCTTTTTACTATTAAAGCGTAAGGGTTTATTAGATCCATGATCGACCAGTTTTTGATAATTGAAAAGAAAAATCAACTGTACTTTTTACTATTTAAATATTCTTTGGTAACTAAGCCAATTATCTTAACTTTATTTCTCCTCAAACTGAAGGAAAAGGTAATCGATCAATACCTTGTCACTAATTCGCTCCACCGTAGCCAACATGCTTACCAGCAAACAAAATCAACAATTACTGCTCTCCATGCTTCGACTAACACTTTAGAGGAGGCAATTGCAACCAAAGAGATAGCCCTATGTGCTTTCATAGACATAGAGGGTGCGTTTGATAACACCTCCTTCCTATGAATCCATAGAGAAGGCTCTAAACGTAAAAAATATACATCCGTCGACAATCAAATGGCGTATAACCATGTTGAAAAGTCGGCAGATCACAGCCAATCTAGGAGGCTGACTATAAAGGCGGAGAGAGGATGTCCCCAAGGGGGAGTGCTATCACCTCTATTATGGTGCCTGGTAGTTGATGACTTGATTCAAGATTCAGGGGTATGCTGATGACCTGGTAATCACAATCCGAGGTAAATATGATACAATCATAACTCAACTCATGCAGAAATCCCTACTACTCACCAGTACTTGGTGTAGAAGCA